AATATAACTTAGGACCGATTCCACCGTTGTGTTAAATGAAGTTTAAAATGACATTTTTACATTAACAATGTCATTTTAATCTCCGTTTAACACAACGGTGGAATCGACCCTTAATAACATATATTTATGGAAATCGAGGACAATGAGCGTCAAATGTTATCTCGGAATTAATTAAATCTAAAAAAAAATTTCAAACGCGGATTTAGTGATAAATAATTCAAAGTTGTGATGAAAAATTATTCCAATATTTATTATTAAACATACAGAACTATTATTTGACATTTTTAAATTGCCAAAAATATCTTCATTTGTTTTTTTTGTATGCTTTATAATAACAATACATGGAGCTTGTATCCAAGTCTTCGTGTGATATGGCATATTGTGTACATACATCGTAACGTTGAATTTTAAGACATTTTTTAATTAAAAATCCGCATATATAATAAAATTTTCTTAAAAAATATTAATATTTTGTGCATGCAATTCATTAATGTGCTTGTTTATATTTACATTTTCTACAATATTGCCACCATTACACGCGATTTTGGAAAATGGCCCATCCTTACTAGTCCTACGAATTTCATGCAGCCTTACAAGTAAAGCATCCCCACCTGTTTCGCAGTTTTCAGTTCCAGAATGTAATAAATTTAAACATTGCAATTTTTTGAACGTCCTTTGAAATTAGACCGATGTAAGGTTTACACAGTTACCATCATGGAGGAAGGATAATTAAGAGTTGCAGATTCCTCATAGAAATTTGGCAGCATGTTTACCTTCAGCGACATATGGAATAGTTTTGTTACCCAGTCGGTAATATAGAAAGATGTAATGCTATTTTAGTTTGAAAATTGGCGGGCTTTTGAATTTACTTCGACAAAATATAAGAATTTTACATTTTTAATAGCACTGCTTAAGACACATGATTTTGATTGTATGTGACATTACTAATTTTTAATTTACTACTTATAATTTCTTTAATGGCTAATTAAGATTTTCTTGCTTTTTGTAATGAAAATACTTTAGATTTATCAAGAGTATAAAGCTTTGTTATTCGCATATCTAGAATAATTATCAAAATTAATATCAGAATTAAATTTTTGTTAAGCATTTCAATATTTGGGAATAACACAATTACGATTAATATTCATTTTTTTCAGAAAAAAAAGTCATTCCTTACAAAAAAATTCTGCTTGTTGAAAAAAATTACAAGAAAAAGTTTCCTTTTAAAGTTATGAAGGAAAACCGACAGGAAAACTGTGACTTCTTCGTAAAATCAATAGGTAATACAGATTTTTTCCTTTTGTCAATTTTAAGTTTCTTCATTTATTAAGACCATATTAATATAGTAAACCTATTTTTCGTCAAACAGAATTTTTTTATAATGACTTTTTCCTTAAAATAAAAATAAAGATTTTTCCATTTTGTCAACTCCATACGGGAGATGTTTTAAATATAACATTTTACTTTAAATCTTAATAATATACCTACATAAGTAAATATAAATTGACGCTAAACTTTACGTGACGTTAACTAGGCACCTACCTACATCTTATACTAATAGGTTTATAACTGACAAACTGACCCATAACCTAGGATTTTTTTTAAAAGTGTACCATACATACCTACCTAATAGGATCTTTAAGAAAACAAAAAAAATCTTTTAATACAGTTTATTCATATAGTTTTTTGCTGCACAACTTTGCCCAGACATAGTAAAACACTTAAAAGTTAACAAATTAACACTGGAAAACAACTACTATATAAAAAGTGTCAAAAAATATCTATAATTCTAAAAAAATAATAACTACATAATACAAACATCACAAACAAGATAAATTTAAGATACACGCTACTGATTCCGAGCTGCTGCAACTTGTTTGTTTTTGTCGATATAAACGACGACAGTGACGCCACTGGCTTGATTGAGAGGTTGGACCCCAAAATGGCGGTGTGCGCGTAGATGCGCGCGTAGCGTTGCCGCCAAGACAAGTTGGCCTGCCGATTATTTCTTATGCCGTGGTAAAATCGCAATCGACACGGAGTAATAAATCAAAATTTTATGGGAGTTTTAAAGCACAGGTGGCTCAAAAAAAATCTGTTATTTTTAAAGAGCCGGCAGTTAAAAGGTTTTTTTTACTAAGAATTTTATAATAGGCTACCATGGGCGTCGTTTGGGGGGGGGGGCAGTTGCCCCCCCTGGCTTTTACGACTTAATCAACAACGCGTAAGATATGCATTACGAACAACAATCTCCTAGAAATAATATTCAGGCTAATATAGTTGAAGAATATTATAGGTTGAATATATTTATTGCATTTGCACTTCTGGGTTCCGCTTTTCCGAAGACTTTGTTAGTTTGTCCTTAAGCCTGTTACATCCCAAAAACATAAAAAAATATTTTTTTCACTACCGATAAGAAAATGAAAGTGTTGGAAAAATTTGGAATTGACAATTTTGTAGCTGAATACCAAACTGGAATACGAAAGAGCTTTCTGCACAAATGAGCTCTCCATTAATGATATAGCGTCCAAATATTGTGAATTTTATCCAGACATACAAAGTGGTTTAAAAAATATTTATGGCTCTTCCACCAACGACAGAACGCTAAGGCATGTTAAAACATGGCTGCGGTCTATTCGATCAGTGCGAAGTCATGGTAGGGGAAGCAAAAGCGATACTAGCGCAAGCTGCGGATAATTCGAGTATTTTAGGTCGATATTTTGTAATTTTGGCGTATCAAATATACGTTTACATTTTACTTTTTACTAAAAAATAGGTAAAAACAATAAAATGAGCAACCGGAGTTGCTATGTTGCAAATTATACTAGCAAAAAGGCTATAAATTATATGAATGTTCCGTAGCAAAATCGAAATTAAATAAAAGAAATAAATGGACAGCTGTATAATAAGAACAACAGAAACCTTTACTTTTGTAATAATTAAGCAATAAATTATTTTTTTATGATATTCTTTAACATCCCTTAAATCCTAAATGTTTAGCAAATGATTAGATTTCTGCCTTTAATTATTGTATATAGTTGACATGCAATCTTGTGACTTGTTGTTTTTTTGTTGTTTTTTTGTTGTTTTTTTGTTGTTTTGTTGTTTTGTTGTTGTTTTTTTTTTGTTTTTTTGTTTTTTTTTGTTTTACCTGTTTTTTTTTATTTGTTTTACCTGATTTTTTTTTATTTGTTTTTTTTTTTTATAAAATTGTTGCGGGGCCCGAACTGGCTATCGGCGGCCCTGGGATTATGAGGACCAACTGAAAATAGACAACGACTAATTGTCGCCTGTATATAAACAAACGGAGGATTATCTAGAAGACATGAACGCTCAACGCTTTGAAGGTTAGTTTGAAACCCTACTTTCACAGATCGAGCCAAATTCAGTGATAGTTCTTGATAACGCTTCTTATCACAGCCGCTTAGTGGAACGTCTCCACTATGGCCACTAAAAAAGCGGTGATGCAAGATTGGTTGCGACAAAAGGTAATTATCTTTTCTGAGGACATGGTTAAAGGGGAGCTTATAACCATAATTAAACAACATCGAGACAGATATCGTTAGCAGGTTTTAGATACATTGGCTCTTGCTCTAGATATAACCATATTAAGACTTCATCCGTATCAGTGCGCATTGAATCCGATACAACTTATTTGGGCTCAAATAAAGCATTACATAGCTTGTGAAAACGTGACATTTAAAATTAACGACGTCCAACGTTTACTGGAAATCGCAAAGCCACGAACACGGAAAGAAGATTGGACAAATGCCGTAACGTATATCATCAAGGAAGAAGACAAAATGTGGAGATTGGACGAGATGGTAAACAATGTAATCAAAAATATAATTCAATGTCTCAGAGGATTCCAGTTCTGAGGACTTTTCAACATAAATCAATATTTTTTATTTTATTTTTGATTACTGATTACTGATTTATATGTGATGCGTTTTAATATATTTATTTTTAATTTAATTTATGATTTATCTTATGTAATAAATAATCTAACAATTGCTAAATTATTTAGGTATTTTTTTTACTTTAAATTTATTGATTATTAGAAGGTTATACTTCTTTAATTCCTATCAATATTTTAAATTACATTTTGTTCTGTATTTAAATTTAAACGCACTTTGTATTTTCTCTCTAAACCATTAAATATTTTGCAAATTTAATTCCTCATTATTGATTTATTATTGCAGAACTTTTTATAAATATTTTTTATTGTAAAATTAATAATAAAAAGCCCCATTTTTTGTCAACTTTTTGAGACATTTCATACAAAGTAAATTAAACAATATTTTACGTAAATCAATAAAATCGTGTCAATTATAGCTTATTCAATATTAGCATTTTATCGCGAATCATTGTTACGCTGCTGCATAGGAAGATTATGGGTAATTTTAGAAATACATTGTTACCGGCCGACCATAATCCTTCAAAGAGTCACCATCATTTAAAAATTGTAATAGTGTAGTAATCGATTTATTTAGATTATTTGTTCGTTTTGCTAAGTACCGTTTCCGCTATTTCCTTTCTTCTTTATACTAAATAACCATTTAGTTAAATTGCATTATAAAGCGGGCAAAGGTATGTTCCTTGAGGCACACCACACGCCAGATAAATGTTTTCCCGATTTCGACAGAGGTTTCGATTTTCCCGACTGAGGGGTGAAACGACCCTCAGTACCCGTTCCGGCATTTTCCCCTCCGACGTAACTTCGCACAAACGTCGCGGCCAATAGAGCGGCTCGTCGATCTTCATTCCCGCCGCCGCAATTAGATGGGTCGTTGGCCATGCGGGGACCGGGAGGCGGCAGGCCCACGGGCCATCGCCGCCCCCCTATCCCACGTCGCAGATGGAAGAGCGACGTAATGGAAGATGACGTCCGGAATGGTCGGCAATTTGGTTTTGAACCGTTGCGTACGCTTATTTGATTGTTCTTTTGTTCATTCCACCTTCCACTAATACATTTTTAAATTAAATTATTGTGTGGATAAATGAAATTAGTAAGACATTAAAACAGCCGGTTGCAAGAAAATCCAATAATTATAATGACATGAACTTGAAATTACTAGCTTAAACCTCAGGTGAACAAAAAATTCGGGTAATATGAATATTATTTGAAGCCAACATCAGATATAACAAATGGGACTAGTAACTCAATGCAATTTTTTATTTGTCAAGAATTGAGTGGTACAGGGGCGTGCGGAGCACGCACGAGCTTCAGTAATGCCATCCGACGGGCCTCGTTAAAGGGAGGGCTCACCGTAGCGTTTGGTTTAAACAAAATGCCTCGGAAAATAGTAGTTTGTGCAACAAGAGTGGATATGATGGCTGAGTGTGACTAGAAAAAAACCACTCGAGTTGTACAGTATATTTTTTCTACGATCCACTTACAATAATCTGCAAATTTAAAAAGTATTTTATATTATTAAGACAAAACCAACTTTAAAATGATTTATGAGTTTTACTAATTTATAAAATAAAATAAGATTTTATTTTATTAGTTCCTAGCCGAGATTCGAACTCGAACTTGCATGAAAGACAGACACCGTATCCTCACCTACACCGCCAAATTTGTGATTTTTGTTCTAATACTTCCAATTAAATTAGTTTCATATAGTTTCATTAACATTTTTAATTTATTTTAAAATGTGGACGAAACAAAAATAGATATGCTATTATTTATCGATTCTACACAAAAATAACTCATTTTAATGTATATTTAATTTCAGTAACTAAACAATATGCTGACAATTAGTTTGACAGAAATGTCACTTATTTAAAATTTTAATTATAGTAGTAGTTGGGTGACCAAAATATGTACTGTGATTGGTGGATTTGACTTTTTTTCAGGGTTCTCACCACCTAGAATGAATATGAAATATATTCGTTCCGTTGAACGCAATAGCATACTTTTTCGTTTTGTAATCTGCGTAGATAAAGCTAATATCCATGTCGATTGCGAAAAAAAGACATAAGTACATGTTTTTGTGTATTTCGTATAGTATCTGTATTCCACAAAATATAATAAATAAATAACGTTAAATTTAAAATAATAAATAAATATTTTTTCTGCCTCACCACAGTAAAACATAAAGGAGATGGCGCTGGTACACCATCTACTTTAATAGCGTCCTTTTTCATTGTATGAAGCTAGCAATTTTAAAATTTTTCCTAAAAAAACTAAATCTTGGCATCATTAAAATCGTTTGTCCTGACAATGATCCTATTAATGCACAGTCAAAACTACTAAGTCTAGAAAGCTGAAATTTGAAACAAAGTATTTTTGGAAATTTCAACTTTAAGGTGTAGAAATGGGAGGGAGGAACTTGTTATAAAATTATTTGTTCTTTGAAGTTCGAAACATGAACATTTGAATTACAGCTAATTTGTAAGGGTGTTTCTTCACCCCTTGAGAAACTATTCTTACGAGTGGCACTTTACTCGGACGGTTACTCGGGCGCCAGATTATTTAAAGTAGTCTATTCTACTAAATTTTAAGACACCATCAAAAATGCTCAGACAACTGCAGATGGAGATGCAAACGACGGGATTTAATCGTCGTTTGTGCCAAATAAAGAATTATCTAGAGATTGAAAGAAAAGGGGAACAGTCAGGACCTGATTAAGGGTTTTATATTTTCACGTTTTAAACCATTGTCTTTGTTTCAGATGACAATGCCTGGTGTAAATTTAATATTTCATTCATTAGGTACCCAATACAAAATGGTTTAACTACAATAAAAACAAGGAATTGGAGATAAATCGTTGTAAACGAAACGATAAACATTTAACCGAATGTCCAGTAACATTTTACACCAAATAATTATTAAAGAGATACAAAATTAACTTCTGGGTAATTATACTTAATCGAACTAAAAATACATTTTAAAAATATTATATTTCAGGCTTTCTTTGTACCTGATGACATTCTAGGAATTTTAGAAGCAAAAGTAAATACTACAGAATTAAAAAAATTATATAAAACACTTGAAATTTTATAAAAGTAAATCTATTCGCGATTCAAGCTAAGTGATACGCCCTCTGGAGGAAATTTGTAGAAGGTCCGTATAAGTAGGATATCGTCCAGTGTTGCCAGAAGTAGCAAAACTTCGCTACGTCGTCGGATTTTAGCTTTTGAAGAAGTGGATAAGACCTTTTATTTAAAAATCAAAATTTGTGTGTGGTAATATGTAATCATACTCTATATTTATTTAAGGATTTTTTTATAAAACCGATATATTATAGTGATTTTTTTTAAATTTCAGTTTATTTATTAATTTTGTTTTAAAATCAGTTGATCATTTGGCAACATTGGCGTTCGTGTTCATTGTTTACATTTTAATTTGTATCAAATTACAATTCGAGTTTTTTCTTACTTTTTAGCTTTAAATTTGTTTATTTCTTATAGTATGTGATAGTGTTTATATTAAAAATGAAATCTGCGAAAACGTCCCCAGAAAATTGCAATCTATATGGTGTTAATGTCAAAATCAAAACTGAAGTATTCAATATTTTCCAAGTGCAAGTCGTAAAATTTTGTTTTTTACGATAAATGAATATCTACAAATTCACAATATTGAAATTTTACAAAACTTTGTTTAGAATCAAACTGTAATCTGATTTGTGACGGTTTTATTACCATTTACATGTATACAAAGTACTACATGATTCACTTCATAATATAAGAATAAGTCTAGTAAGATTTTTAAATAAGTTCATCAATAATAAACGTGTGGTACCTGAAATGTCCTTTAAACCACATAATAAAACATGTCCTGGGTTTAGTGAAGACATATTTCTAGATGTTCTTGTAGCAACCAACAGGTGAATATTTCCAACAAATAAGTCGTACACATGATAAATATTATATTTATGACGAAAGCACGAGACCTAAACTTAAATTAACTCTAAATGAAACTCAAAAACACTATTACAATGAGAATATTATCTAAAAACAGTTAAAACAATCACAAATACAAAATCCGCCCAAAACAAAAACATGTAAATAAACAAACATCCTACTTATAAGTGACAAATGACAGGCGCGCGAAAATTAATTTGAATCGCGAATAGCTAGTTACATATACTGCGTTTGAATATCCACATCCGATGCATTTTTTACATCTCAAGCGTTTGTTTATCCACATCGGACACATCTACTACATCTGCGTTTGTTTATTCGAGATGTAGCTGTCCAGATTACATTTTTTACATATCGATTTGAAATGAGATGTGAATGACATATTCGTTCCATGCCAGAAAGTAGGAGTTCTGTGAAGCCAAGTTTGTCGATATAATATCAAAAAGACTCAAAATTTAAAAACAATAAAAATAGTTGACTATTTATCAAGGCCTCGTTATATTACCCTTGATTATTTTTATTACTCATTTTTCTCCGTGCATACATCCACACCGGTTGTAATATTTATTTATACAAAAAGAGCTTATTAGGATAGACAATGCTGAACGTTTTTTATGTAATAATAACGATGATAAAGGGTGGGTAATTTATAATGAAAAACCCTATACAACTTTTTATATTTAATGCTGAGCGTGTTATATGTAAAAATAACGATGGTAAAGGGTAGGTAATTTATGACGAATATCCCTATACAACTTTTTATATTTAAAGCTGTAGAAAAAATAAATAACTACCTTCCTTAATATAGCGTTAAATAAAAGCACTTGTTGGCCATGAAAGTGTTATTCTACTAAATACAATAACATCATTTAAACAAATAATAACGTTATTAACGCTCATATCAATTAAAACGCAAAGCTTCAACCCGTTCGGTCTATTACATTAGGTACAGCCGCATTTAGTTTTAGAACTGAAAGCATATACGCCAGAAATTTCGTATTTACTGTCATTCGCGTAATGAAATAATTAAAGCTTCACTAAGCGTCCAATCAACGCTCGGCCCTTGCCGTCGCGTCATAATAACTCATTTAGCGTAAACACCATGCAGAAACGCGTCACTATATCATACCACATTAATGAGATATGCATCCGAGCGGGCCGTGATATAGTGGCCTTAATTCCGTAGGGACAACTAGCCAGGTACATAGAGACCGAACGGCGCGGCCTAATCCCTGCATGATTAACACCATAAATCTGCCGTGGATTAGCGCGATCGCCATCGCGGACTGCCACGTATACTTATATGAACTATTGCCAACCAACGGTATCTGCTACTGCTGCTGCTCAATGTCCATTTGGGAGTTGCATTTGTTCAGGGTCGCGCTACCATTTTCTAAAAATTGTGCTGAAGGTAACTTATAAGTAGAAAAGAAAACTCGAATGATAGAATGTAAAATGATCATTCTGTTATCATTCTATCATCGATCTTCTGAGAAAAAGACATTTTCAATTAAGTACCACAATTAATATGACAAATTCTGGTTGAAGAGGATTGTTTTATTTTTAATAACACTTAGGAATAATGGATGACTAATGAAATCTTTCTTTTATTTAACTAGTACTAAAAATATTATAACTTAACTCTGTATCATTATCTTTCTGTACTTCGCTAAAAAAACCGAGATAGACTCTAGTAAAATCGTAATCGACTCGGAGTAATAAATCTGTCATATCAGGAAATTTCAGGTGTGGGTACCTATATTATTTTTTGCGGGGAACATAAAATCATCATTTAAAAATATTTTTTTTGAATATTATTGAGTATTATTTCGATATGTAGGTACTTTACAAAATGTTTTTAGAGTTATTTGCAATGGTTATCTGTTTGAATAAATTAACAACAAGGTATATAACAAATATTTTTCAAGACCTATAAATTTAACTATTAGGTATACCTACATTAAATTGTTTAAATCGTTATTCATGATTGACTTATTGGAAATTTTTGATGTCTAGGTGACAGTTAATGACGAGTGGAGAGAAAGGTTTCAGCTTAGGGTTCAAAATCTATAAATGTGACCATAATTGTATTAAAAACGTAAATGGGATAAATCCTTAGATTATAAAAATCTATAATCTA